TTCTTTATTTGGACTTTTCACAACCTGTTCTTGTGGAGTTTTCTGTCGTCTTGTTTATCTGAAAAATAGTTTTTGGAATCTTACTTCATATCCTACAATATAGAGTGGCTGAGGACTTGGTTTTCAGTTAATAAAGCAACAACATATTTAGTTAACATGTTTTTGCACATTATAATAGTCTGGACACCTCAATAAGTTGAGACTACCATAAATTTACAGCCATTTTAGAAAATTAGTTAATCAAACTGAACTCAAAGTGCAACAACACTGCCTCTTTTGTTCTGGAAAGGCAGAAATGTGTTGAATCCTTTTTAGCTTTAATCTTTTGTTATGGTCTGATGTAATATAATGGTGTCGTAATTGTGCTGTGCATCTTCAACACAGCTTAAGTTGCTGATTCATGATACCATAATGATAAATCAACAGTGGACGATGTGATGTAGCTTAGACCTCAGAGTAATAAAAAAGACACCCTATGATCAAACACACTACTAAAAGCTTTGCTAATAACCAAAACAGAACAAAATACAGATATATGCTGCTACAGCCGAGTTTTAATCACCTCTACTGTCTTCTACTGCAATTTTCCAGAAATCATGGGCTCAGGTCTGCAAGTCTGGTAACTGACGGTAAACAGGAAAACCCTCAGCTTTTATTGGTTAATCACTTGGTCAAAGTTAAAGACCAGTAGCACAGAGAGTTGCTAGATATCAATGACCTAAAAGGTAAATGTCTAAAGGGTCTGTTTACAAGATGTGTGTGGTCTGTAGAGATGTTAGCGGCCCTTTTTCTGACAGTTGTGGACAAGACTGAATATCAGGGGTGTAGCAGTTCATCAGCAGCTCCTGTGGAAGGTTGCTTTGAGGGACTTAAAAACCTATTCCAAGCCTCACTCAGTGCTCGTGGTCAGTAAGCTGGTGATCCACTGATTGGTGGAGGCTGGCACAGTGAGGGGCTGATCTTCTGGTCGAGGATGTTTGGGTTGATGTTGTTGAAGCCTGAGCTGAAGTCTGGGTGGTTGAGATGGTGCAGCAGGAAATGTAGTCCCACTTTAACTGCAGGCAGCCCAACAAGGAGCCTGTCATGACCTTCAGATACTCCAACACCAGAAATCAAACGATTTCATGACTAGCGATAGCAAGTCTTTAGTGATTGATTTTCTGTTTCCCTTATCAACTTTAGATCAGGGTTTAAAAAGACTCGAACCAAACAAAAATTAGGAAAGATCAAATGGGGGGTGTTAGGGGGGGGGTAGGCGGTTCCAGATCACTGGGTAGTTGTGTTTTAGTTCAGAGGGTAAGGTTTAAATGGGGAACCGATTATCTTGCTGATTGATCTGTAATCAGGGATAGTTGGGTTTTGTTTCACAGTGAGAATATTGTACCTGGATAAAAGGTTTAAAGCAACAACAGATTCAATAAGAAATCTATAAACCATGCGATCCATGTTAAAACTTCTTGCTTGATTTTAAAGAATCACAATTCTTTCAGCATATAAAGACATTGTTTTTGCTTTTTTCAAACAAATGGTCTTTGTGCACCATAACAAAAACAGCTCAATGACACTTTCTGTCCACAGTTATCTCCACCTGCAGGCCATAGAATCATGCATTGACATCACTTCCAGAAGTTGGCTAAAACTGTCCTGCAGGGTCAGCAAATCCAAGCCCAGAGTGCTTATATTCCTCTCTCTGCTCCCACCACTGAACTGTCACTGTAAGACGAGGTGCATCCTCACTAATAAACGTCTCCTCTTGGCATCATTTCAAAGGGCTGCAAATCTAACCTGTTGTCAGGGTCGAACTCTTAAAGCAACCTGACCCGGCTGCAGCCTGAACTCTGTCCAGCGTGAAACCAAGCAAGAAATAATAAATCACCAGAGAGCAAAATGAGAGTAAAGCCCACAGAGATGATTCTGCTGTAACAACCCCCTTCAAACAGACCACTAGGAGACATCTTCTTGCACAGGTTGAATTCTAAGAACACATTTGAAGAATAATCACTTCTTAATACACTGAAAATATATCAAAAACCTATTAAATGTACTCAGACTGGGCTGTAATCCAAATGTATTTATATTAAGGAGTAAATCAGGACTAATATGAGTACCGTACTCCGACCTGGAGTTTAGTCTTTACTATTGCATAAATTTGGAGAAAAAATGTATAAATAAAAAAAAATTTCAGTGAGATATGGGCATGTAAACTTGCTGATGAAGCACAATGATATCCTTATCCTGGTGTGCTTCATTCCAGCATGTCATAGCAGTTATAAAAACCTCCTCTGGGATCCTGGCTTTAATAAAGGACACACTCTTATCTTGTCCCTCTGTCTGAAGTCATTACGACCGCGCTGCTACCGCCCTTCCTCACCGCTATTTGCATAAAACTGAGTGATTTAACTGTCAGAAATGCAGCGTCTGCACTCACTTTATTGAATCTCGTCCATAAATTGGTTGTTAGGAATCCTCCAGGGGCGTATCAGCACCAGGGAGCCCCATCAGGGCAGGACCTCCTCCGGGCTAAAGGATGTAGAAGGAATTAAAGAGGATGGTTGATCATTAATGCCACGTGACTTTGAAAAGCAGTTAAAGCATATGAAGCTGTTGGATTTGGAATAGTTTTAAACATCTTAGTATGTTTCAGTATTTACTGGGACGTCAGTGTATCCTAAAGCAGATATTTTCGCTGTATTTGAAGGTGTTATTGACCCATATGATGAGTGAAGTGAAACTCTTTGACCTTTTGCTGTGATTAAAAAACAAAAAAACAAGGAAAAACAATTCCTCCACCTCTCTGTCCTCTGTTTGTCCCCTGCTTGGATAAAAAGCTTCATTACTTCGACCTCCTCCATCCGAGACTCCGGGTTTGGTCTAACACTGTCGGCAGCAGGCCTTGCCTCACCTTGCCCTTGCACAGGAGAATAGATGGAGAGAGAGTTCTCCTTTGATGTCCTGCTGGCTTTTTCTCTACAGGAAAATCTTGATTGCCAATCACAACACAGATGGGATTCTGTGCTCCATTTATTTGTCCAACAGGCAGGTAATGGAGTACCACAGAGAGTCTCAGCGTACATCCACACTTTTAGTTCATCTAATAATATTAACAGTTCAAGGTATAAATAAAGCCACAAGATAACTCGTTCAGTTTAGCATTTTATTGTGTGTATTTTTATATCTTTCAATCTAATTTAAACATTTTTGTTTCACTGACATTAGTTTGTTTGTTTAATAATTTGTTTGAGCTGATTTTTTTGATATTATCCAAGTAAAACTAGTTTTGTTCCATAAATAATCCTCAGACAGTCTCCTCTTTTGTTGCACTCTACGTTTGTTCCTTTTAGTTTGTTTTTGCAATATATATATATAGACAATATAAACTTCTTGTTCAGGCTAAAAACAGAACACATAAAGTATAACATCCTGATTAATGATTTAAGATATTCCTGCTTTCAGTACCCTCCATGTGCTGCATTTAATGGGCATCCTCCTTGCTCTCTGTTTAGAACAATAAATGCTGAACCCATAAATGCTGAACAGATGGTAGATCTATATCTGCAAATCATATTGAGCAAAGATCGATGCTCTTTTGCTTGCAACAGGACTAAAACCAACCTTAGAGGAAAAACAGCTTTAAGCTGAGAGAGCTGAAAAGTATTACCTCTCCAAAGAAGTTTCAGGAAAATCCCTGATTGGCATCAATCTTTTTCTTCATTGTAAAGAGTGAAAATCCAAAGCAATTTATAAATGTTGATTTTGTGGTTTGAATTGGGGTAGTATCTACAAATGTAAGGATAAGGACGACCAAAAAAGTCTGTGTATTAAAACGGCATATTAATGCTATAATTGCAGGGGTACAAGCAAGGATGTTAATCTCTGTATTCATCATTTGCAGAGTAAAACAAGTAACCCCATCAACTCTAGAGGTCTCCAACTTAGCCTTTAGTTTGGACTCCTCTGCTGTGGTCAGGTAGATGACTTGTAGTCGTTGGATTCACCTTTTGGGAGAACTTAATGAGGCCGTCTGTTCCTGTTTAGCTTCGATGTCTGGTATAAAAACCTTCTGGACAATCTCAGGTTATTGAGATGTCCTGGTGGATGGTAGAGGACAGACTTGCTGGCTGGATGTGAAGACTCTGTTTTTCTTACCCATATCGCCACATGCATGCTCAGGATGTTGCCAGATGTTTGTCCTTTGATCGAGTCAGTGACACATTGCAATCAGCTGGGTTTACTAAGAACGATTTCTTTTATACATTTCTGGTAAAATAAACTACATTTAATTGAATTGTTTTATAACTGGGATCAAAAATATGTGTAAAAGAACAGTTATTTCACTAAAGTAAAATAAACCCAACAAATAAACTGGCATGAGGTGCTTTATGTGGAAACTGATGTATGTCAGCCTTAGTTATAAACTGAGCATTAAGCTTTTTAAGCCAAAATAGCTTTTTTGTTGGAAGTACAGGTTGGTAGTATTTATTTGTGTTTCTAGTTTTAACACCAGGGGGCAGTAGTGGTCATGGTCCGTTAAACATGTGCCTGACTTATTTTAGGTTTACACTAAAAAAACAACACATTTATAGTTTGTTCTGTTTAAGAAATAAGTGAGACATGAAAGCAGGAGAAACATTTAGACCCAATTTCCTAAAGCCCAGAATAAATGGGTTATAAAGTCACCCCAACCGTTTATGTTTCTTAATTGCCAAATATCTGCCTGTGAACATCCAGCATACTAGTCCAATGTCCATTATTATTTAATAAAGGCACTGAGCAAAACCAGAAAATAACTGGGCTAAGCTCACTGGTCATAGATATGTAGCCTCATTTCAAAGGAAGACATCACCCTCTAGTGGTAGCGACAAAACAAACCTTTTTTTTCTCCAAAATTGTTGCTCTATTTTAACAGATGTATCTCATAAATATGACACTGTTATATGTTTTCTAAAAATGCAATCACTGCATGGGTGCTTCAACTGAACTGTTTTTTTTTCTTTCTGCAGATTTCTAATTGTTCTGGGATGCTTGATCCTGGCCATACTGACCACATTCAGGGAACATGAGAAGGATTCGGCACACTGGCTGGTTATACTGGTGAGAACGACTCAGTCCCTCAGCAGCCGATGTAACTGAAAACTCCTAACACACAAAAAACACACATGCAGCCAGTGATTGAACATGTTGTTTCTGCAGGAAACTTTTGCCATCTTCATATTCGGAGCAGAGTTTGCACTGAGAATCTGGGCAGCAGGTTGTTGCTGTCGCTACAAAGGATGGAGGGGGAGGCTTAAGTTTGCTCGTAAACCACTGTGCATTTTGGGTAAGGAGGTGGAATCCTAAGTATGTTACGTAATTAGATTGATTAAGTCTTTTTCTTTTTATTTAAACCAATAATTAAATACAGAGTGCTGAAAATATGCTATGGTTAGATTTGGTGGGTTTAAAAGTAAAGGGAAAAAAAATATATAGATGAGAAAAATTCCAAGTTGTTTTTATTTTCTGTCCTGAAAGGCAAGTAAGTTTATTTATACCCTTAAAGGGCAGTTTTTTTTTTTTTTTTAAGAATTGTCCTTTTCTTTTATTCTCTCACTTACCTTTCAGGGCTTCCATAGAAAACACTTAAACCTCAAAAATGTTCAACTATCTGAGCAGAGCGAGTGGGAGTAATAGAATCTCTTTTAGCATTGCCCAGACCAATTCAGCAGCTTTTCAGAATGCATTTCCCGTAACTGGTCTGAAATCCTCCTGTCAATTATTTTCTGTGAACATCAGGACATCTACAAACTCATTGGAGCACCAGAAACTCTTAGTTTGTCCAGACTTAGAACAGCTTCAGCCGTTTAAACTCCCACCAAAGATCTATGGAAGCCTAAATCCAACCTTACAGACCCTGCAGCTCTTAGCTGCGACCAGGCTGCAGAAACATCAGCCCAATAATGATCATAGGTTTCTCCTTTGCTGACTGATGTGGATGTGATTGATTATTATGTTCGGTTTACATCATACACAAAAGTACATAAAAATGATGTGATGGGAGTTATTGGATGGCACATGTAAAACGTCCCTGTAGTTCCACCACATGGTCCAATACCCCCTGTGGCTAAGAAATGCCAGTTATTACAAACATAAAATATTGAATACATCCCTATCCAATGGTACGGACAAATTAGAAATATATGGAATGGGAAAACTGCAAAATATCAATCAGAAATAAAGCTTTGTTAGATGTATTTCTAATACATTTTGTCCATTGCAGCTTTCTTTAAAGCTATATCCAAATAGTAATGAAAGCTTGTTGTTGGGATATAGCAGGCCTTTGGATGTTTTGTAGCAGCTTTGCCTCATAAATGGTAAATGGTAAATGGCATGTACTTATATAGTGCCTTTATTCAAGTCAGCAGACTTGACCAAAGCGCTTTACACTTCATTCATTCACCCATTTACGCACACACTCACACAGTGATGGTGGCAAGCTACATTGTAGCCACAGCTGCCCTGGGGCTCACTGACAGAAGCGGGGCTGCAGGTGAAGTGTCTTGCCCAAGGACACAACGACACTGAAAGTCGGAGTCGGGGCTTGAACCGTCAATCCTTCGATTTCAGAGCAAACTCCTACATCCAACTCTACTAAGCAAAGCCACAAGAAACTTTTACTAAACTATCCTTCCTGCCACCATAGAAGCTTTAGAATTATGTTTAGAATTATGTTTTTTTTCATTGAACATTGAGTAAAAGCCTCTGTGGACATCTGCATCCTATATCTCTTGAAAAACTTTGAGTAGTAGATTTCTTTTCAATCTTAAAAAAATGTATTGTTCTTCTACTAAGACTCCTTAATTTATCAATCTTCCTCTTACAACTTTTCCTGGCTCTTTTCTAGACATCTTCGTGCTTATTGCCTCGGTGCCAGTGGTGGCGGTGCGAAACCAAGGTAATGTGTTGGCCACGTCCCTGCGCAGCCTGCGCTTCTTGCAGATACTGCGGATGTTACGCATGGACCGGAGAGGGGGGACGTGGAAACTCCTTGGCTCTGCAATCTACGCACACAGTAAGGTACGGCTGAAGGAACTCTAGAGAGAAACAAATGCATATAAAAATACGGAAAGTTAATCCCATCAATGATTCAAGTTGCTTCTAAGATTTAGAAAAACAGCTAAAATGACCAATTCTCTTATTTTTATATTAATCTTTTGCAAATGTGTGAATAAAAGCTCAAAAAGCCTTTGAGACACAGATGACTTCTGGAAGTTGTCATGTAGTTTCAAAGGTGATGCTTTAAGACGGAGAGTTCATCACTGTTATTGAGTTATTGATCTACATGTTACTCTCTGCAGACTTAAAGCCTCTTCTGCTGCGGTATCATTTAGTTCTTAGAGATGTTTTCAGATTTACTTGTCACTCAAAGAAGAATCAATCAATTCTCTCAGGGGCGAGGCGATCAATAGAAGGGAGATTGCATTTGTCTTGATACACCTGAAAAATATAGCGTCATATAAACAGCATAGGCTTTGCCACTGGGAGGTTTTAACATTGGGTGTTGGTGTGTCTGCAGGAGCTGATCACAGCCTGGTACATTGGCTTCTTGTCTCTGATCCTGGCATCTTTCCTGGTGTACCTGGTAGAAAAAGATGATGGTTCTGGCAATGTTTCTGACCAGGAAAACCCCACGGCGCAGACTCAGCAGCAGGACTTTGACACATATGCCGATGCGCTGTGGTGGGGGCTGGTACGTACAGTATGGTGCTAGACAATACAATGCCGTCATAACTATACGGTATTTGCTAAAATAACCTTTGGACTGTAGTGTTGTTCGGTGAATACATGCCCATCTGGTTGTGTCTGGAGAAAAAATGAAAGTGTGATAAAAACTCAAATCATAGTCAGGCCATTCACTCTACGCACATAGTGTCTGACATTGCTGTCATATGCATAAGACTGTAAAAGTTTTTGAAACATTTACATGTGAGTTGTATTGCATACCATAAAGGTCAGTGTTAAATACAAAAAAGTGCTCAGAAGGCTTCCAGTAAAGTCCAAAAAAATAATAAAGAGTTGTTACAATATCGTGATTCCTTTATCTATACTGCTTTATTTATAAGTTAAGTTGAGGGTGAACAGTCAGTTATATTATTAAAGTTTTTTTTTAGGGAGATTGTAAGCTGGAGTATTTTATTTTCCAATTAAGCCCTCAGAAATGCCATGATACAGCCACACCATAAAACGGGTGGCACCCACTAAGAAACTCATCTTCCCTTTGAAGACAAGTGTCTGGGTTGGAAGAAAACTGCTTTATTTCATAACAAATGATACTGTAACAACTGTTGACTTTGAAAGGCTTAATATAACAGAATATAGGTTTTTTAAAATTTGTCTTTTGGGTCCAGCAATCTGGGGATGAACGGTAAAATAGAATGAAAGCAGCTTTATATAATGCTTTAGTTTCAGCAAACATAGTTACATTGTGTATATAATCTTCACCCCAGTTTTAACAGTTAAAGGCCAAGAGTCCTTTTCCATATAAAGAAGTATTTGTGTACAAAGGACAGTCCAACATCCACGCTAAGAACAACCATCCGCTGTAACCAATGTTTCTGGTTCTAAAGTAGGAAGATCACCTGTCACAGCATCTTTTATAAAGGTAATGTTGTGCCTTTGCAGCAGATCGACAGAGATCATGTGATTCAGATATCTCTTCATTATCTCCGTTCTACAGATCACACTGACCACCATTGGTTATGGGGACAAAACCCCAAAGACTTGGGCTGGGAGACTGTTAGCTAGCACTTTTGCTCTGATCGGAGTTTCCTTCTTTGCTCTACCTGCCGTGAGTACATTATTTAATGTAATGGCCGTACGCTGATAAGATATGTTGTTATGGATAATGAGGTTCATATTAACAAAAGGTGAATCGTAAAAAGATGTCTTAGGTGTTGTCTGATAGGTTCTAGAGCAAATTTCTTCTCACCAGTTAAAAATAAATAATTAAAAAAGAGAAAGAAATGAGAAAGGTAATACTTTACATACCATCTCATTATTAGGCAAATCCAATAGAAAGTAATAATATTATGTTTTTAATTAGAATGGATTGAAATTGAATTACATTCAGTGATGCTATTTATAGTGGATGCATTAAAAAAGTGGTTGGAAAACTGCATCTAACTGCACTAACTCCTTTATTGTAATGCTGCATCCACGGCCACAGAGGCGGCCACAGCTAAGATGATGTTTGACAAAAACAAACATTTCCCTACACTAAAAACTGAAAACTTCCCATGCAGTGCTGAGTACGCCCTATGCCATACATCAGCTGATTTAGTTGAAATGAAACAATGGTTTATTTTGAAGTGTTTGCAGTGTAACAAGAGAGAAGCACGAAGTAAAGTTATTCTGTACAAAAAAAACAAAATCCTGATTATTGATGATTTTACTTCTTAAAATCAAATCTAAAATGTGAGTTTTAAAGTTTTTGTCCAAACAATAATATGAAACAATAAAGTTATTTGCTGTGTTCTTTTTGAAATAATTTTATGTTGGGCAAACATGAAGTTGACATGCTTAACATTTCATGTTCAAGCATAAAAAGAAAAAACAATAATGTGAATAGATCAAAGCAGCTTTAAAGAGTTTTTTAGGTTAACTGGTCGGTCCAATATTAAGGTTCAGTGTAACTTAGAATCAGCAGACCACACTGTTGATTTGGTTTTGATTGCAGGGGATTCTCGGTTCTGGCTTGGCTCTGAAGGTCCAGGAGCAGCACAGACAGAAGCACTTTGAGAAGCGCCGACACCCGGCAGCCGGGCTTATTCAGGTGAGACCCAAGACCTTAAAGTTAAAGAAGAAGGATACTTTTCTGACAAGATCAGACTTATTCTCTTCATGCCTGGTGGACATACGTATATGGATGTACAGTCACATTTCTGTTCTGTTCTTTCTTTTTTGTTTTTTTCTTTATCCAGTCTGCCTGGCGGTATTATTCAACCAATCCAATCAGGGACGATCTTATTGCCACATGGAGATTTTATGAAACCATCATCTCTCTTCCCTGTTTTAGGTAAGTGATTTAGTTTCTCATCTATATGTGGAACACATAAATACATTTTAGCTGACTTTATGTCCTTTCTCTCTGTATGAAAGGAAGGACACCCTGGAGGCCATGGTCAGGTAGGTCACCGAGCTCCTGCAGAGATGCTGTAAATTACAGAGCTGTGCCCACAGTAAAGACTCTCTGATGAAGCTTTAATTAGTTCTACAAACTGCAGATAGATAATAATGAAGATTTCCTAAAATACTCCACCCAATGTGTCTTTAAATAGCTTTATATATTAAGATATTAAACCATAACTCGGATAAATGACTTATTGAAGATCTTGAATATGACCGCCCACTCACTCTGCAGTCTCTCACACCAACATTAACACCGTTTAATCTGAGGATATTTTTTGATTACTTATTAGAGAGTCCATTAGCTCTGGCTAAATTATGACTGACAGTTTAGGTCCATTAATTAGAGCCGGAAACGAGGAGACTAAGGGGTCTGAGGGAAGATGGATTTCCACTTTATCACTCAGCTCAGTGACAGTAACAAGTTTCTGCAGTTCATCAAACTCTGAGATTTCACTGGAAATATTAGATTTATTGATAAAATATTACCACTTCTGGTCTACTGAAGTCATTATGGGTGCACAGCCCCCACCCTATTTATTGGCACCCCTGGTAAAGACGTGTTTTACTGCAGTCAAGCTGACCAAGGTTGTGTATTATAAAACCTACACTAAAAGAAAAGCACAGCTCAGACAAGAAAAGGTCAAACACAAGAAAGAACCTCTAAACAATCATTGGCATTTGTATCAGCAGCTTAAAGCATTCATAAAGAAAAAAAATAAACTAATCTAATTTTCAGGTATTCGGCTGTAGATCAGCTAACGTGGTTGGGGTCATCATCCTGTGGATGATTCACTTGGGGCTGAGATCTGTTTTTTTTTTCCCCCTGCAGCTGTGAAAAAAGAGGCCACTTTATAAGACACACCCTGCTTTAAGAAAAGACTGTCTTTGGGCTTTAAATTATCCACGTTTGAGAGTCGTAAAGTATGCAATCTAAAGATCCCATGCACCTTAACACTACCACCAACAACTGTAACAATTGATCCAAGTCAGGACAGACCATTTTAAAGAGACATTTTGTACTAGAGAATTATTTTTAAAATAGCCTGTGTATTTAACCCTTTAAGACTCAAACATTGTTTGATGAGCAGTCTGCCACCTCCGTAGTTCGGCACTGATGCATCTATAAGCCTGTAGCCTTGTTTCCCTGAATAAACTTCGGATTGGAGGTTCCAGCTTTGGTTCTGCGGATTTGATGTCAAGCGCATTCATGTTAAATGGCTATAACCTAAGAACAATCAATGCGTTAGAAGCGAACAGCATCCAGCTCAACTCAGACACCAATGGAAAATCCACTTAAGGTGAAAAAAAATAAGATACAAATTGTCAAGTATGAACTACACACTAAGAACTATGCTCTTAATTGACAAGAGTGGCATCTGTGTGGTCCTCTGGTGCCCATTAGATCCTATTTCCTCATGTTGTGCAGAAGACAATGGTTTTTGCAGTAGACAAGCTTTTTAGACCGTTCACTGTACAGTATACAAAAGCAGCTGCATCACATTCAGTTGCTTAAATCTCCCTTTCCTGTTCTGATACTCAGTTTAAACTTCAGCAGTTTATCAAGTGTAACTAAATGCTTTGAATTTCCGTTTGTGTTAACAGTAATTGAACAGTATATGACCACCAAATTTTAGTTTGAAAGTGTCCCTTGGCTCAGTTTGTCAGCTTTAAGTTTCACATTTCCTCAGTAGCTGTAATGATTTATTACCACCATCAGCATTTGGCTCTCCTTATTGTATTCATTATCTCGGCTCCTTTCTCAAGAATCAGTGTTCTTTTTTGTGTCTACGGAGCTATCTTTATCATTTTCTCCCTGTGAAATCCTGCTAGCATTTATATTCCCTTCATAACACAGAAATAAGAAGATGTCAGGTATTAAATGAGGCAGTGAGACATGGACACAGAAAGGAATCTCATCCTATAGGATCAGCAGCTGGGACAAATGAGTTGGACATTATGAGTTTGCTTTGACGGAAGAGGTGGACCTCATCCAATAACTAGAACAGCTTTAACAGAAGCCTAATGAGCTATGTTCTATGTGCTTGGTGAAATTAGAGCTTTCATCAACAGTTTCATGGCTAATCTTTTCCCGAACAGAATATGATCCTCCATCTGAGGTAATTTACAGATGGATGAGTGTTTTGTTGATGCTGCCAGGAGACCCTTTCAGATCTTCTTTTCCCAGTTTATTGTGATTCCCTTTATCTCTACAAAGTTTCATTTTTTCAATAGAAATAACAAGATTTTCAGTGTAAAGACGAAGCTCCTTGAATAACTAATTTGTGTAGCTACAGTGAGCTGAAAACATTGGGTCCTCTGAGCTGTTACAGATAAGATGTTACTTTATTTTCCTCCTGTTGTGTCCCCTCGTTTAGAGAGATCCGAGGGATAATCACATCTCATTTTCTGCCCTTTATTCGCCGAGGAGCGTTCAAAAAGAATAGTCCCTCCTTCTTTAAAGCGCTCCCTTTCTACCCCCTCTCAGCGCCGTAATCTGCCGTGCCTTTTCTGCCCTGAAGTCACATAGAGGCTCATATTGTGTCGTCTGTGGGAGCAAAGTCCCTGAGAATGCTCCACATTTTAGAGGCCTTGTTTAGGCCGATGTCGGGTCCGATTACTCCCCCCACCTCCATGCCTCTTCCGAGGGACACAGGAGTCTTATTTTACCAAGCGAGCTGCGTCTTTGTCCAGCCAAATATTGTCACAAGACCAATCTCCTTGGGCTCTTTGGTGCTTCCTCCTGCCTGATGGACATCTCTGATTTGTAAAACCAGCAAACCACAAAGAAATCTCTGGATAGTTGAGGAAATAACCTCTAGATAGGAAAGGGGGTCAACATAATGTGTGTAAGCAATAATTCAAAACAAACAATCAAATGAAATATTAACGGCTCAGCAGATACAAGTCAAACCTCTGCCGTGCCCATCTCTGAACACAGAGGTTATTCTTGTAGATAATCTGTGTGATAAACCACAAACCATCAGGGATGTGGACAAACTGGAAACATGAATGAATGATCTGAGACCACTTTGTTTTATCACACTCTGGGAAATAATATTAAAGAAAATCAAATGCTTCCCTGCAAATAAGTTGCTGTCAAACATATTAACATAAGTTGTTCTAATGAGGGGAAGGTTTACTATGCAGAAACTGTTTTGTCAGGAAAGTACAACTAAAACCCCAATTGCTTTTTGTTTGCTAATAAACTATATATAGGGATTTCAGATTCTGCTTTCTATGTGTCTCAAGCATTAATATGACATTGATATACTCAACATTTCTCTCAGGTTGGAATGTAGAGTTATGGTCTAAAACTGATACGATATGTTGGAGCTTTCGATTTTTTAGGTTAGGGTTAGCAATTTCATAAGCTTAGCATTCAGTAAGTTTATTTAGCATGTATTCATTCACCTGGTTCCTTGATGCCACAGGGGCGGAGTGGGGTAGAGTCACCCCCACTGGTAGCTTCAGACATCTCTGACATCCGGTGGCTCCAACCTGAATGGCTCAGGTGTACTGGCGTCCTTCACAGTACATTTATTCCCCCCCTGTCATTTTCTCCAGTAGACACTCCATGTCGTACGACCACACTGTTGCGAAACTATCATCACTACATCTTCTCTATGTTTGTGTCGTCATCACTGTAAGTTTCATTGCTGGTGTCAATTACATCCAAGATCCTGGCCACCCTAATCCCCCTACCTCCCCACCCTCGCCTAGCACTGACACTTTAGACTAGTTTATTAGGGGCAACAGTGGCGTTGGATGTAGGAGTTTGCCCTGAAATTGAAGGATTGACGGTTCAACCCCCCCGACTCCGACTTTCAGTGTCGTTGTGTCCTTGGGCAAGACACTTCACCTGCATTGTCTACTGATGGTGGCCAGATGGCCCGGTGGCGCCAGCGTACGGCAGCCCTGCTTCTCTCAGTGAGCCCCAGGGCAGCTGTGGCTACAATGTAGCTTGCCACCATCAATGTGTGAGTGTGGGTGTGAATGGGTGAATGAATGTAGTGTAAAGCACTTTGGTCAAGTCTCCTGACTTGAATAAAGGCGCTATATAAGTACATGCCATTTACCATTTACCATTAGATGCTAGATGTAGGCAGTAAACTCTGGTATGGAGTTCGTTGTCCTTTAAATCAGTGTTTCCCGACCTTTTTTGACTTGTGTAGCCCTTTGGGCATTTTGTCTTACCAGGAATACCCCTTTAAGCCAAAAGTGTTAATGACTGCCCAAAAGTGGAACATAAAATAAAAAAATATTTCACTTGATTCTTATGCATTTTATGCTTTCCATCTCAAATAATAAGAAAAAAAACATAAATATGTTCCCTGGAAGTTCGTAAAGAATCGAAATGAATACAAAATAAAATCCTATTGTAAACCTTTATTTATAAAACTGGACTGTCACAGTTGAGTGGAGGTTATTGAGGACCCAAATGCAGAGATGATGAAGAACTGATCCCACCCCTATTTTATTTTATTACCTAAAAAATATTTTCTTGTACCCCTTGCAATGCTCTTATGGACCAGTGCGTTTACACGTACCCAATCAATTGGTGTAGTGTCCCTTTAGACACCAATAGACAAAAATAAAAATAAAAGATGAAGTACAGCAGTTACCTCTCTATCACTTTGAGTTTGCATTACAGTATGTTGCTTTAATAGTGGAAGGAAGTTAAATTTATGTGCTGTGAGGTTTAATGGTTGCATTGTTCCACTTGAATGTAACAGAAAATCTGAGACAAGATTCTTTCATGTGTGTTTATCATATGCATTTATTTTGCTGGAGAAATTTGGTTTCATCTTATTTTCAACACTGCAATTAATGAAACGGTTCTTATTAATGTCAAAATAACACGTTTTAAATATAACATTTGCTGTTAGAACTAAGTTGGAGGGCTGTCTCTATACTCCAGTTAATGATTAATCGATTACTAAATTAGATTAGGATTATTTCAATAATCAATTAATCTAGATTATCCTATTAATTGTTTCAGCCCTGCTTAGTTGATTTCTTTCCTGAATCTCCTGCTCTTTTCCACTTTAGCCAGAAAGTAAGTTTGCTGGAGCGCGTTCGCCAATCCAACGCAAGACCTTCTGTTGCCATGGTCAGGAAACCAGTGATTAATGCTGATACCATTGAGGAGAGTCCCTCCAAGGAGCCCAAACCCGCCGGCTTCAGTAACCGTGAGCGCTTCCGCACCGCCTTCCGCATGAAGGCCTACACCCTGCGCCAGAGCTCTGAAGGTAAGAGACTAAAGCCCAAGGCTCTATCACCCCTCTGTCGGTCATTGTACAGTGGTTCAGTTTATTTTCTGCTGTTTGTCTTTCAGACACTGGAGCTCTTGCAGACCCAGTCCTAGAGGACCGGGGCTTTCCCCCAGAGATCCTCCTAGAAGAGATGATCCCAACACTGAAACTGGTCATCAGGGCAGTCAGGTCAGAAACTGCTGAATCAGAACTATATAGTTAGGCATCAGCTCTTACACTTTAGACAGATTTTTAATTCTTGGTTTGAAATCAGTAAGAAATCAGCCAAAGTCCAAAGAACCTCTTTGCAAAGCCTGAAGCCAATGGTCAACCCATTCATGTTAACAATTACTTGTCCTTGGGGTTGGGATGTGGGGATATTGTTTAAAAGGTGGTGTACCAGCTGCAAATGTAATTTGTCCATGGCAAAGCAACCAAGAGACACAGGAGTGACAACAATGCTAAATCCCAAGGACAGTTAGACAAAAAAACACTTAAAGGCTTATGGCGGAGTACCTGGAGAGAACCAACACATGCATGGTGAGAACATGCTAACTCCACAAAGAGAGATCGAAGACCAAGATACAAACAGAGTTATTTGAGTGTTTAGAAACTGAAATCTTACTCTCTAAGAAGCTTTAACCACCAACATTTTCAAACTCATTAAAGCTACAGGGTCTTTAAAGTTTATACAAAAAACATGTGGCTAAAGAACCATTGAGTCCTGAATTATTACCCATTTATTTCTGAAAACTACCAAAGTTTGTTAATTGCATTTTTTTTTAAGAAAGAAGCTTGTTTTATGTCAAACTTTCTGTATAAAAATCCATTTGTTGTTTGTTTTGCACTGCATTAGCAACAGAGGATTTTATTGTTTTTGACCACACTATGTTACTAGTGCTATTTAGGGCTGGGAGATTGATAGTTTTTATCGATTCAAATTTTCTGTTTAAGAAAACGTAATTTTTGGAAAATTAAGATTTTTTTTCACCAATGGTCTTCCTGGCTTTCCATACCTTGGACTGAACTCAGTTCATCACTTTTTATTCTTAGATGTCTCCTCATAACTGAAAAACTGTGTTATACCACTCACTGAAAACATTTACTATGTCGTATTTACATTTGTGAAACTTGATTGTTTCACAGCATTTTTAACAGCTTAAATTCCGTTGCCCTTTAAAGTTAAGATCACCTCCATGAGGGCATGATTGAAATATAAGTTTTTGAAATCAGAATTTGTAAATAGTCATTCTATTATAAGAGTTAAATAAGAAAACATAATTGATTAATTAGATTTGATAAGCAAAAAAAATGTGATTTTTTTTTTTTTATCATATCGCTCAGCTCTATAACTAAGGGAACTCAGCTCCATAAATAGCAAAGTAATTGGTCTATAGGTTCAAGCCTGTGTGCTCTGCATGACCTTTCTTTTCAGCAGGACAAAGCTAAATGTGTCGATAGCAGTAAAGTTAACCAGAGCTCACACATGTTAACAGTATGCTGATAATCTATAGGCCACAGAGCTGACATAATGCAGGAATTGAATCTGGCGTGAAGAGCTGTGAGATGAGTGATTAACCCTGTGAAAGCACTTCTTCCTTCCATCCCATTATTCTCGGGCTGAATAGCATCCTGAAAGGGAAACTCAGGCATGAAGGGTTTTGATTTCAGGACCCCCAAGACATTCTGCTAAACACCGGAGCTCCTGCAGCAACCGCAGACTCTGGGAAGAGCTGACGATAACAGCTTAGTGGGTGGCAAAAAGGTCTCAAGGACAAGAGCATTTCAAAGAGCTGATGGATGACAGGATCAAACTCAAGTATGCAAAGCGTTAACACCAAAGGAGTTGTTGTTATGCAGTTTCACTGTAAAGAACGGTTAGAATAAGGAGCCCCTGTCATGTGACTCTGCTCAGTACAATTAATTTCACAGGACAAGGGTCAAAGCTTAAATAAAACATGAGTGCCCATGTTTATATGGCAGTCGAACACTGAGCTCTTTACCAAGCCATCTTGAGAGAACTCTATCAGCTCTTGATCACTAATCTCCAACTAAATGACAGTAAAACCAAGAAAATACCTGACTTGAAAGATTCAAATAGTACCTGTAGTGTTTGCACTCTTTCTCTATCCACTTTAGTCCAGTAGGAGGCAAAAATATTTGATATTTTTGTTTAGTACAGTTTTTTTTAAGGATTTTTAAAGTCTACATCCCATGTAGGTGGTTAGATATCGTATTGGGATGCTTTATCAGACATCTTCTCTTGGGTTTTGGGTCATGTCCAACAAGGAGGAGACCCTAGGGATGACTTTGAATTTGTTGGAGATAACTTATGGCCCTTCTCAGTAAGGAACTCTTTTTGATCCCCTGGGAGAATCTAGCAAAGGTTGCTAGAAAGAAAGGTATCTGGCATTTCCCCCTCAACCTCTTATCTTGTCGCCATCTGTCTGATATCTGAAGGGCTGCACATCGGAACAAGTGGTAGCACTGTTGGCTTTTAATTGTAAATGAAAGCTTGGTACTTTCCTATGAGGAGATCACCCAGGACAAACTCTTTAAATAACACTTCATAATGTATATGTATTAAATAACCATGAGACATGACAACAGATTTTGACATATATACTGTAGTAATCTTACACAGACGAAAGAATCTGCTTAGGGTTACAGCTGACAAGATCACAGGTGTGGATTCAAAAACATTTTCTTCTGTTTCCTCCCCCCATAAATAAATCAATATTAGATTTAAGGGTCTGTACATTGCCTATAAGAGCATATGTGTGCATTTATAGTTGCATTAATGGATGCCATACTGGTCCAGGGTGAACCTGCTGTTCCCCTGTTGAGATAACCATAATACCTACTCTAAACCTACAGTACAACTGATCTGTCCAGGATGTACTCGTCCTCTTGCCTAACAACCGCAAGATATAGGAACTAGCCCTCCCGAGGTCCTGCAATGATATGATAGTAAAAACAATGGATGTATGGATAGTGTAAATGACTGGCTGAATTAAATGTTTCTTTCTAGGTTTGGAATGATCTTTCCACCATTTTGGGAGAATAGTTAGTTCAACTATGATGGTGTAATTCTTTACCCAGTAGAGCTATTTTCCAACCTGAAATCCTGATCCTGGACTTTGCTTCACAGGATCATGCAATTTCTCTTGAACAAGAAGAGATTCAAGGAAACTCTGAGGCCTTACGATGTCAAAGATGTGATTGAGCAGTACTCTGCTGGACATCTGGACATGCTCTGCAGAATTAAATACCTCCAGACAAGGTGAGCAGAGAAATCAAAGTTTCGAAGGGGTGAATTAATTAAAATGTCTCATATTTGCCACAATCAACTTGTTTCTTCTGTAAAGGATCGACATGATTCTTGCCCCTGGACCTCCCCTCACCCCTAAAAGCAAGAAGCCCCAGAAACCACCCTTTAACTACCCATCCAATCAGTCACCCAGGTACAGTACACCATTCTACATCCCCAGCATTGCATAGCAAAGCCTCTAGTATGGCTAGACAGTTTTCACTTCATTCCTCTTTGTTTCAGGCATGAGTCCTACTTAGCCAAAGCCACGTCAATGCCAGATACCGAAGACCAAAGCATGATGGGTAGATTTGTCAGGGTGGAGAGACAGGTGAGGGTCATTACAGCTCATATACTTGTTATACACTTCTGTTTGGTTTAAATGTCGGGTCGATATAAAAGTAGAATATTTTAAACTATGGAAAACATTAAAACCAGAAAAATGCATGTTAGATTTTAGTCTAACTGTCTTTCAGATATCCTAAAGAATTGACTTTAAATTTTTTTTCAACCCCTAAACTTTAGACCAGTTCTCTTTTTTTAGCTTACAGCTGTGGCAGCTGATGCAGTCTTCCTCTGTTGTAGTTCACCAGCTTCAATGTTGAATGTGTTGTCCATTTAGAGATGGTTGTAGTAAGGGATTATTTGGGCGTCTTTAAGATTATTCTCTGTAGATATGAGAAATGCATGTGGGTTAATTTAGCAGGTTAATAAATACTCAAACCAGCCTCTCTTGCATAAACAACATTACTAAAATCTAATTTCTTCGACTTATTGATGCCCATTTTAACTTGAGAAGTTATATTTACTATGTCTACATACCACAAGCCATTAAGCTACTACCATGTGAGCGGCTAATTCTCTGTTTTCCAATTTGAGAGCAGTAGGACAGTTTTAGCTAACAAAGTGGGAGGCTGGTCCTGATGCATTATGTCTGGACAATGCCTTAAAAATGTATCAGGTTGCTGGTGGCAATTCACATATAATTAATGTGTGAATTGTAAAATTCAAAAGCATTAATTACATTTATATATTTTACACTACTTCTGTATGTGGACACAGGTGGAAAACAACTTCCTTTTGAGATTCTTAGATAATTTATGGCTAAAGTTAAATCCTTCATGGTTCTAACAGCCAAGTTTTCATGTTGGATTCCTTTTCATGAGCTCATGGGGCAGATTAAATGTGTCTCTGTCTCAGGTGGAGGACATGGAGAAGAAGCTGGACTTCCTTGTGGACATGCACATCCAACACACGGAGCACCTGCAGGTGGACTCAGCAGGCGATGCTCGTATGACCTTGGAAGCCTGTGACCAGACCGCTAATGGTGAGATCAGGCGGGTTTTTCTCAACTACTCCGAGGTGTTTCCACAGATGTCTTACCAGGTGCCTGTTAGCAAAGTGAATCAGACCTGCAGCAGAGGACGAGGAAGCAGGCATGGGGTTGGGTCGGTGGTAGGGAACCTTGCACCACCAGCAGCCATCCCTACGTACACAGAACGTCCGACCGTGTTGCCCATCAGCTCCCTGCAGGACTTGTCTGTGGGGCCGGGCAGGACCACAGGGGGGCGGGGGGGTGACTCGCCGCTCTCTCTCCTCTCTGTGAACCACGAGGAGCTGGAACGCTCGCCTAGTGGGTTCAGCATTTCTGTGGAGAGGGAGGGTGATGTAGGGATGGATGCGTCAATGGGGGCTGCTGTGGCGACGGGGGAGGCCAGCTGGACAAGACCCAGGCCGAGCTACTTGGCTGAAGGGGAGACAGACACTGACACCGACCCCTTCACGCCTAGCGGGGGGGCACTACCTCTCTCCTCTACTGGGGAGGGGTTTGGGGATGCTGAGTGGAACACGCCGCCCTGAAACAAATCGGTCACCGCGACTCTGAGACCTTAAATCCAACCCATGCCTCTATGCTCAAAACCACTGGGTCAAAGCCACTCCTTTGAGCTGAATCTTCGGGAAGAGGATGGGTCTCAACCGCCTCGATGCTGCACGTTCTAAACGAACCGTTATCGACCTACAGTGACCACAAAAGTCCAGGTAGAGCCATGGCAACGGGTCTGACCCGACAAAGAAAAAAAAGGGAAAGAAGACCTTTTGTAAAAAAAACTCTGTACAGTGCACTCATCACAGAACAATTTAGCGAAAAAAAAAGAACATTATACATTACTATATACACCCAAAAGCTTTACTGCTGCAAAGCCAACCGCACTGCATGTAACGCATGCGATTTTTAGTGTAGACACTGCAAATTTCAGGATATATCAGGAAAAAGAACAGAGATTGAATGGAAACTTATACCTGCTATGCCATTTTGTAAAACTTATTTTTTATACGAAAACATATTTGTTTTTGCATGGTTTGCATGATGCTGCACCATTCTAGGGATGATAATTAAGAGGGTGATACTGGAACCAAAAGTCTCCTGTCTGTTTTACTTGTTTCTCACCAACCATCTGTGTGGGATCTTGTTGCTATCTCTGACTTTTTTGTATTTATTTTTTTTACAGTTCTTTTCCTTTTTTCTGTCTTCTATTTTTGCTGGAAGTCATCTAACAGAGTTACCAAACAATACAGTTAGAAAATATACGAAACACAAAAGTTCTGAGCTGGCACATGAATCCAGGGATATAAACTGCCTGCATGTCTGTCATTCATAAAACAATGGGATATTTCTCAAGGATGAGCATTGGCTTATATTATTAAAAAAACAAAAAAAACACTGTCTATTAGAAGGCATTAACCCCCTCCCAATGTTTTCCATTTGTTTAGATGTTATATGGTGTAAAAATCATTTAAGAAAAGCTTTCTTCAATATAAAAATCCATTCAAAATGGCCCTAAATAATATATATAAAATATGTATTCATCCTTCTTGTGAATTCATGATAAAATTTAATGTTTTATCTTAATAGGTACATAAGTTTTCACACTTCTTGCTAAAGCTTTGAGGTTCTGACATGAATCCACCTTTAATAAATTCAGTTGGTTGAACATGACTTGGAGTGGAGCACACCTGTCCCTACAAGCTCTCCCAGTTTAGTCGGCAGATTGTGATTTTAAACCAAGTCCTCAAGTTAAAAGGACTGTATAAAGACCTATAAAGAACTATGTCAAATCACAAAACCTGTTGATGGATACAAACCCTTTGTTTTTTAGTACTGAGCATCTAAAACCCTTCACAGGGCCCTTCCTAAATACACCAGTGTACCACCCAAAAAGTGAGGCTTTGGTAATGAGCCAATAAAGCCTTCATGGTAGACTGATCACATTAAAGCCAATCATATCTTAAAAACATATGGAGGCTGAACTGTATTTTCTTAAAAATTCACCTGAGAGATCATCAGACCAGAAGAGACTGAACTATCTAGTCTGATAAAACGAAAGCAGAAGATTAAACTCCAGTTTTCAATGTCTGGAGAAAAAAAGTGCTTTGTGTAAATCAAAGCTATTGCCACCATATTATTAGCTGTGGCAGTAACAGGGTGAATCGCACCCACAGCCATGATCGAATGCGAGAACCTCAAGGATGCGTCCCTCAAGATGTTCCCAGCAAATCTGACTGCATGAGTTTTTGTTATGTCAGGCTAAATAAGCCTTTCTTGTTGACGGCAAAATGTATTTAGAGATGCTTGGTAAGAAATGAACAAAAATCTTTGGAATTCCACAATTTGTTCTTGTACCCAATAATACACTGGAAAAAATCCAGAACTAGATATGTCATTTTTTTATTGAAATAACTGCATTTCTTCTTGAATTGAGGAGGTAAAAGAGAATTTTACCAATGGAACAAGACAATTTACATTTAAAATAAGAAAAACACAAATGCATTGTTTTATTTCAAGTGCATTTTATTTAATTATCTTATTTTAAGAGTAAAAATACTCATTACTTTGGCAAATCATCTCATTTACCTACTCAAATTAAGGGTAAATACAATTAATTTAAGACATTTTTACTTATTTCTAGATCGTTTTTACACTGTAGATCCGGTTAAAGATTGTTTCTTAGAGCGGTCTTTGATACTAGACTAAAGCTCAACTGTAAACATCTGTGGAAAGATACAAAAAATGGTGCTGCCAATCTAACCTGACTAAGCTAAGAAGCATTTGGAGACACACCCTGACAGATTTGAGGCAGTTATCACTGCCAAACATGCTTCAGAGTGTTGAGCAAAAGCTGTGAATACTTATGAAACCTATTATAACAAGCCTTTGGTGGTCAAAAAATCTCTATAACTTTCTTAAAACCTGATTTTACCTTAAAATTATGGGACTGTGTAGATCTCAGAGAAGAAATTGCTACTACAGTTTCAGACACTTCAGTGGCATAAAATGTTAAAGTTTTAATAATGTTAAAAATAAATTTGTATTGAAGACAAGATCCACACCTAAGACCTGCACTTTGCTATTTTGATGTAGTGGAGAATATGTATAAATTTATAAAAAAAAAATATGTGACAGAGCAAAGCTGAAAAATATTTATTTGCCATTTTCAATCATCTGAAGACGTGAAAAATTTTGGGTTACCTGAAACAGCCAATTTTACTACGGTCCTGCACTCCTGGGATGTTTTTCTTTCAAGTTAAAAGGTACATTTAAATTTATAAATATTAATGCATCCCTTTAAATTTAGAAAACTTTCTCACAGCTACTGACTTTATTGTATTTTACTGGGATTTTATGGTGAAACTACACAAAGTANGGCAAATCATCTCATTTACCTACTCAAATTAAGGGTAAATACACTTAATTTAAGACATTTTTACTTATTTCTAGATTGTTTTTCCAGTGTAGATCGGGTTAAAAATGGTTTCTTAGAGCGGTCTTTGATACTAGAGTAAAACTCAACTGAAAACATCTGTGGAAAGATAAAAAAAAATGGTGCTGTCATTCTAACCTGACTGAGCTAAGAAGCATTTGGAGACACACCCTGACAGATTTGAGGCAGTTATCTCTGCCAAACATTCTTCAAAGTATTGAGCAAAAGCTGTGAATACTTACGAAACCTATAACAAGCCTTTGGTGGTCAAAGAATCTCTATAACTTTCTTAAAAGCTGATTTTACCTTAAAATTATGGGACTGTGTAGATCTCAGAGAAAAAAAATGCTACTACAGTTTCAGACACTTCTGTGGCATAAAATGTTAAAGTTTCAATAATGTTAAAACTGAATTTGTATTGAAAACAAGATCCACACCTAAGACCTGCACTTTGCTATTTTGATGTAGATGAGAATATGTATAAATTTATAAAGAAAATATGTGACAGAGCAAAGCTGAAAAATATTTATTTTCCAGTGTATTATTGGGTACATATTCATTTTCAATCATCTGAAGACATGAAAGACATGAAAAATTTTGTTTTACCTGAAACAGCCAATTTTACTACGGTCCTGCACTCCTGGGATGTTTTTCTTTCATGTTAAAAGGTACATTTAAATTTATAAATATTAATGCATCCCTTTAAATTTAGAAAACTTTCTCACAGCTACTGACTTTATTGTATTTTACTGGGATTTTATGGTGAAACTACACAAAGTAGCGTATGGAAGTAAGGTGGAAGTAAAGCAAACCTTGGTTTTCATTGTTTCGAACAAATCTTAACATTGACTCAAGCTGCATTGTTCAACACAATTTAGTCTGATGGCCCTGAATAAAATCCAGTTTAACCATTTTGGTAATATGCTAGGTAATAATCAGTGTTCACCTGCCTATGACGTAATCTGAGTACATGGTAATATATGCAGCTGTTCTGTGACAATATGAAGTTTGTTGGTGAACATCAAGAAACAAACAGCATCATGAAGACTATTAAACACAGTAGGCGTCTCAGAGGGGAAATTGGTCAGGGTTAGTTTCTGAAACAATATCCTGAACTTTGAACTCATCTGCCAGAGCTTTGCTCAATCCATCATGGTGAGGGGGTGGACCATGTCCTGACCTGCCAAGACATTTAGGTCTACCTAAAGCCCCTGTCACACCATGACGATTTAATCAGTGTTTGCCTGATGTACGATAAATGTGACCAAAACCCTGACATACGTTGGATAACTTGTTGGTCAGTTATGAGTTATGAGCACGCTGGTACACATCGACATACAGTAAGTACGTTGAGAAATTTTGAATATGCTTACTTATCAACTTATATCCAACGCACATCAACGTATTTGACGTTACAGACGACCGCTTAAGGTGTTTCTAACTTACAGCTCCCGTATAATGGTGTATTGATGGCAGCTACCTAAGGTGGAAGAGTAGTGCCACACAACATCTTAAAACACCAACCTCATGGTGAAACATGGGGGTGGCAGCATCATGATCTTTATTGGGAAGCTAAATACAGTTCAACACTTAATGAAAAAAAATCGAGGTCTTAACAAATATTTTGTAATGGGTGGAAGTTCACATTTTCTGCATGAAAATAACCCTAACTTTTTAGTTTCAATGAATGTTGAAGCGGGGCAGTGCAGTTTTGCTGACTTTTCTGCTATTTACCACTAAGTGTTTCAGAGCAAAGGACCTTTATGCGTGGGACTCTATTCACACAAGGATTGCGTCCTCTCGTGATAGTAGTGTACTTGTAGTCCTTGAATAGAACATTAAAGTGGTTATTTGGCCAATGCTACTCACGTCCCACATGCCTGCTCTTAATCTAATCAGCTAGCTTGTTTTCTTTGGATCTAACATGGGGAAAGGAGCTTGAATCTTTAGCTTTACAGTTATTTTTTTTTATTCATTGCACATATTTATTATCACTGTTGATTAGCCATTTGAACAGAATTAGTAATTAACATAAACTTTCAAAGAACTGTATTTGAGTTCTGCCAATGTAGGCTTTCACTTGTAAACTTGATCCATTTTACTTTTCATCAACCGACTTCCTGCCTGAAAGATCTGCCCTGCTCGAGTATTTTAGCGGAGCGGAGAGTGCCCATGCATCTGGGACTCTACATAAATGCAACTGTCTGAACAACTAGAGTTCATGCAAAGGTGCAGAGCAGCCGCACCACTTAAGCAGAGCAAAAATGTATAAACTCGAATAACATCCCAGTAAAATACTTTGACACAGTTCATTATAAAAAGATCAAGCTGTATGCATTTTTCAGCAAAGCTCTGCAAAACTAAATTGGAACAAAATTGATCATTAATGCTGTACAATGTATTTATAAATCATTGAATTGTTAGCTGGTGCATGTTTAAAAATTTAAATGCCTTAATTTCCCTTTCTATAACTGAAATTAATTAACCAATTCATCATAAAATGATCCCTACCCAAGTATACTTTCTCTTAAAAAGAATATATTTATTATACAAGCAAATAAAGGAATATTTAGCTACAGATGTACTCGTTTTATTACCTAATAATATGGACCTTTTTGGATTGCTTGGAATAATGTACAGATATTCTTTCTTTTTAAAGCCACCAGTTAAATATATACTAGGCCTTTAATTACAATCTAGTATAGGATTATACAAAAAAAATCTATATTATTTATCCTACTTTGCAATAAGACATTTGTATAAATTTAATCTTTTTAAATTATATTCATAAAGAGAACTTAGATCTTGTTCAGTGACTCACTTTGTAATTTTGAAATCTGGACTTCCTGTTATAAACAGGCTGGGGACAGAAAGCTTAGTGGTCAGTAGTTAAACCTGAGCAACAACTTCATGACCACATTAAGGCCTGAACTGCTTTCATTACTTAGATGTAGAACCACAAAGATTGTGATATAATATTTTACAAACAACTTTATCTAAATACTTGAATTATCACTTATCGCATGTTAAAGCAGCTATGCTGAAATACTTTAACACCAAGTCTATGCTATGATGATTTCATGAATTTAACAATGAACTATATTTAAAAATCTTACTGTGTTTCATATTTTCTATGAACAGGTGATCTGTTGTCCGACTCAGTTAAGTTAGAGGTGAATTAAACATTTCCATAGAGTCCATTGTTTAATGAGGCATTATAAGATCTTCTGTAACCTATATGGGGTTGGTCAGAGTTCTTATGAGTGAGCAATATTTTACCTTCAAGTCATAAGAGGGATCTCTGTTTAAATTAATTCTCAAACTAGCATCTGTTCTTGCTTTTTAATTCCTCTGAAACTGTCAAGGTAATTATTTGGTAAAATAATGGTCACGCTAACTGAAAAAACTAACAGTAAAGCCGTCTCCATTATGTAAAGATGGTTTAAAAAACATTCAAGCTAACAGTTGAGCTAATGCTTTGAGCTGTTTGGTTCAGAAGTGCGAGGATTTCTAAAATTAGGTCAATCTGATCTTAAATTGGTGCAAGTTGCGATTTAAAAATCCCACACAAATTATTCTTGAACTTGGTAGATAGGCTAATAACTACTAGCAATACAAGCTAATAACAGTGTATTTAATTGTATGTTATACATTTAAAGTATAAAGGAAGAGGTTCACTAATAGATTTAAAAACACAAGATTTGTAACAGATTTTAACAAGACACGGAGAGACACAATTGATTAATTGAAAGTTAACAAAGCTTCCTAGTTGCATTATGACCTCTAATCTTCTAAATCAGTAGTTTTACATTTGGCCATCCAATCGATATTTATGACTTGGATTTCGGATTGTTACTTTTAAAAGATAAATAAAATGTACTGTAACTTTCAAACCAACAGTTCAGCTTATCTTCAAGCTAGCAGGGGCCCCTAATCAATAAGCTGTTAGAAAGATAACTGTCAAGTATAAAACAATGCTAATGGCTGGGTTAATAAAGACTCTGCATAAGCATTGA